ATGACACTTTCTTTCTTCTGTAAACACAGAAAATTTCATCTGTTGTTTAAAACGGAACAGTAGCTACTACTGAAACATCATGACACTTTCTTTCTTCTGTAAACACAGAAAATTTCATCTGTTGTTTAAAACGGAACAGTAGCTACTACTGAAACATCATGACACTTTCTTTCTTCTGTAAACACAGAAAATTTCATCTGTTGTTTAAAACGGAACAGAAGCGACTACTTCTGTATTCTGTTTCTTTACCTGGTAAATCATCTGAGCATATTCGGGCTTCATCTGGAACAAATGAACAAATGCCAGATAAATATACACATAAACACACCGTTTAGAAATAAAAAAACAACATTTACAACAGTAAGAGGGTGCTGGTTTACTTGAAATAAAAAAACATTTACAATAATAAAATACACTGTTTACTTAGATATTAAAAAGCTTTGAACAATAAAATACAATAAAATATGTTTAAAGACATTTGCGCACGTGTTTACCGACTGTCTTATAGTACACAAAACTTACCGATATCCGTCAAGTAATTCACGTGCTACTAAACGTAACGATATCCGTAGAAGTAGTTCTTATCATTGTTTTGAGACTCACATTCTAACCATAATATTCTAGAAGTTAGTAAAATACCAACTCCGTCAAACATCTAAAACCAAAACTCTTAAATCCCTACCCCATATCGAAAGCCGTCAATCACCTCTCTAAGAATTGAAACCCAAACTTTGTTGAGGATGTGGGTAAACATGTTAGGGTTCAGGTGGTGGTGGAGAATACGGAGGTTTTTATCCAAGTATGCCAGTAGTTTATCAGCATCCTACAACAAAATGATTAATAAACTTTGTAGAAACTGGTACAATTAATGAAATCAAATCGATCAAGCTCCTTTAAGCTATGAAACTGTTACTGCTGACTAATGTGTTAGAGTTTATTTACTCTAGGACTACTGCTGACTAATGTGCTAGAGTTTATTTACTCTAGGGCTACTGCTGACTAATGTGCTAGAGTTTATTTACTCTAGGTTACTGCTGACATTAGTGCTAGAGTTTATTTACTCTAGGACTACTGCTGACTAATGTGCTAGAGTTAATTTACTCTAGGGCTACTGCTGACTAATGTGCTATAACTTCTTTACTCTAAGGCTACTGCTGACATTAGTGCTAGAGTTTATTTACTCTATGGTTACTGCTGACATTAGTGCTAGAGTTAATTTACTCTAGGGCTACTGCTGACTAATGTGCTATAACTTCTTTACTCTAAGGCTACTGCTAACATTAGTGCTAGAGTTTATTTACTCTAGAGCTACTGCTGACTAATGTGCTAGAGTTTATTTACTCTATGGTTACTGCTGACTAATGTGCTAGAGTTTATTTACTCTAGGGCTACTGCTGACTAATGTGCTAGAGTTTATTTACTCTAGGGCTACTGCTGACTAATGTGCTAGAGTTTCTCTATTCTAAGGCTACTACTGACTAATGTAAAACGATAAAAACCCTATAATCCGAGCACTTTCGAAAGGTGGACATTTCTTCTTCAGGGGTAAACTGGTAATGGTGGTTTAACTGAATGAGTAATATATAAAGGGAGCTGAGTGACGTCATAAAATTCACTTAGGCTTCCAGAAAGTGTTTTTGTATATTTTTGAATGTAATGTTGTTATGTGTGTTTCATTTCTGGTGCAACACGGCGGGAAACGAGAGCGTTATATAAAGGTGTTTCCGGCCGTGTTGGAAACACACATAACAACATTACATTCACCTTTTTATATAACGCTCTCGTTTCCCGCCGTG